TATTGCCACCATCACCGCCACCACCACCAACACCTTCGCCACCACCTTCATCACCACCACTGTTACTACCACCATTACCACCTCCACCACTACACTACCCACAACCCACCACCTCCACCACTAGTCATGACCGCCACTGTCACAATTACTACCGCCACCACCGTCATCACCTCCACCACTACCCACCATCACCACTATTGCCACCGTCAACATCACTGCCACCATCATCATTATTTACTAATTTTATAATTTATATAATATATTTTTACATATAAGTTATAAAACAAAGTAAAAACAAACAAGAAAGGGCAATTTTGCCATTTTATATTATTTCAGTTTCATTTTCTGCCAACCAAACATAATATGAAATTTGATTCAAATTTCATTGATGCCAACCAAACAGAATATAAAATTGGATTGCAATTTCTGACAGATTCTAATTCTTTAACATATTCCAATTCCTTCAAAAGCATTCTACGAACCAAACGTCAACTATACAGTTTGGAAGTTCTCTTATGAGATTTTCTCATATATTAGGAATACAATTTTTCTCCATTAAAAAAAACAGCTAACATATAATATAACACTAATCATTGTAATCTTAAATCTACAAATTTTAATTACAAGCATCATTTTTTGCCTCCGGTTATTCTCATCGAAACAGATTTACATAAATCACTTAATTCAATTTTTGAAAATCAATTAGAGTTAAAGAATTGCTTTTGGCTATTCTAGAATGGAAGCATCTTCGCCATTCCATTGACATTTGTGAACAGCCCTACTTGCCTATAAGGTAGAAACGATTTCCGCTTTCCGACTTCATTTTCTGCTCTTTTTCGCACGTAAAATAGCTCATGAACGGGAGTTTGAGCCTTCAACTTCCCGGCGACTTTGGAAACCTCACCGGAATTCCTCTTTTGCTTAGGAGTTAACAACACCACAGGATCCTTCCCTTCACTGTTGCTTCGCCGGAGCATATACCGGAGCTTCCACTTCTTCAATAGAGACCCCGTAGAACTGCTCTTCTTGATTTTAGTCATAACAGGTGACGATCCACCTTCCGTCTTAGGCCTCCACACACAGTAAGTTCCAGAGGGTAGAACTTCCAATTCGTCGGCTTCTGATGATGAACACGATGAAGATTCTTCTGGTTCATCAATGAACAGCTTCTGTAATGAACTGGTGATAGAATCAGAAGCATGAATCTCATTATCCTTCGATTTAACTTCATCTTTCACGAGAAGAGCGCGATTGAAAATAGGAAAAACATTCCAACCTCGCGAATCGATCTCTTTTGCTGAAACTTCTTCTTCACTTAAATCCAATGAGAATCTAAAATCGTCTTCATCGGAATCCCCAAATTCGTTAAATCGAGCTGCCTGTTCTTCACGGATGACTTTGGCGATAGCCATGGATGTTGAAGTATCAGAAGTGTAGAAACTGAAGCTAGAACTGGATCCAGAACCTTCGATGTCCCCCTGTTGTTCCATTTTGATGAAAAATCCAGTGATTTTTTGGTGTTTTTATGTGAACAAGTGGATGAATGAGATGAAGAAATAGATAGGAGAGGGTATTTATAGAGATGGGTTTACTTGGCTCCAAAGGCGTGAGTATTAATTTTTCACTTTTCTTTTTCTCTTCTAGAAGAAGAGAATCGAGTCACAGCTTACATAATCGTTTACGTAATTAATAAAATAAAGCAAGTTGTTAATTCTATTTTCCCCTTTGGCTCTATGCATGATTTTTGGGCTAATAATTAATTTAGATAAAATACTTGATGATCAGAAATATTTTAGTACAAAGGGTTAGTTAAATTTAGGACTTTATTTTTTAGTTAATTGATATATTCTATATATACATGTAAATGGAAAAATAATAATCATTATAGCTATGAAAAATTGAAAACTTTGTATATATGAGTTATATATTTTTTTTATTATAAATAGAAATAAAATGAATATTAATGGATGGTTCTATTACACCAGCTGGAACTTACATGTGAAAATAATGTTTCGCACACTTAATGGTCTTAATTACCTACTATTATTTATATTCTTTACATATTTCCAGGAATTCTATAATGTTAAAACCATGAAATAAAGTTACTACGGCTACACAAATCGAAAGCGGCAACTTGACTTTTGAATCAAAACCGGTGATTTGACAAAAAAAAAAATTAATAAATAAAAAAAAATTATAAACAACTATCATATTAAATAGCGAAAGTGTTTATCTAGTCTCATTTGTTTTAAAAATGTCTTTTATTATTATTTCCAGGTGTGAGACCCCGTATGTTATACGAGTTTCATAAAACAAAAAATTAAATAAGAAAATTTAAACAAAAATTTATTAGAATTTGAAATTTTAGATTTGAAATTTAAAATTTAAAATTTAATTTTAAAAGGAAACATATTAAATACTATATGAGTAATAATATTGTAATTTGTTGGTTATTTTCAATTAAGACAATTATTAATTGATGTGTAATATGATGTCTTAATTAAGAAAAGATAAAAAAAAATGAGAAAATGACAAATGAAAAAAACATTTATTAAAAAATATCAAAAAATGACATGTGTCCAAGTTAATGAAAGAGTGACATGTGGCAAAATTATTTTCATTTATTAATGATTATTATTATTATTATTATTATTATTATTATTTATACGGTCAACTCACAGAGAAGTTGATGGTGATTATTAATCCTATGATTTTGATGTTGGAGTAATGGTAGGGTTAGGTCAGGGCAACTCTCCAAGAATAGGATAAGTTTGAAAAAATGGGGTTTTGCATTTTAGGGACTGAATGAATGTTATTTAAGATTTTTTTCTTATAAATTTAGCAAAGACAGATGTCCTGCTATCACATACCTTGAATTGTCTCCAAATGAGATGAATTTCTCTATTTCTACTAATAAATTTTAGAGGTGATGTTCTTCATCTCTAAATAACTCCTCATTCAAAGATAACTCGTTGGTTTTTCTATGATTTTGACTCTTTATGATTCAATCAACAGGGGAATGTTAGAAAGTTTAATTATTGATGGGGATTTAGTGATTTATGATGAAGACTTTGTTGTTTTGATTAAGAGATATGATGATTTCGTTTTGGAAAACATACTTAGGGTAAAACATAAAGGATTTGTAAACTTAAGGTTTTATTTTCAAATTTGATGTCATACATACTTTTTTTTTTTGAAAATTTGTACACTTAATGGTAAAAATGGAAAACACATACACATTGGCAAAGTGTAGGCATTAACACACCTAAAATTGTCAAATGGACAAAACCATCATATTTTGACAAACTTAAGGACTTTTATGTCAAAAGCCCTAAATATAACCACAAATTTTATATTATCTAAATAACAATCATTTTCTATAGAAATAAAAGATATGTGAGAGTGTAATATCATTTTTTTAACAATTTGTAATGTCATTTTTAGGTCGATATGGTAGGCTTGTGGATTATTGCTACGAGCTTGATATTTGTAGACGTTGATCTCATTTTTCTTCTGATTAGGTTTAGCATATTGTTGGGCCTAATCTTTTAGATATTCATCACTTGAGATATGATGCTCTGATTGGCAACAGGCCAGGTCAATTAGGGTGTGTAATACCTCGATTACATGGATCAAGATTTTCTTTGTTGAATGAATATTTAAATTGTGCTTATCTTTTTAAGTTATTGTTGAACTAGATATTGAGGGAGAGTCATAGTTGTAGGTTTCAAATCCATAAGGATTTGTTGTGGTGGTGGAAAATGATGGTGATGGGGTGGAAGCGATGAAGAAATAAGAGTAAAGGGTAAGTGGCGGATGAATGAATTTATGGAGTAGTAGAACCAAAAAAAATACTCAACATATACTTGTAGTTACTAGGGGTGAGCATGGTAAAAAAAGCGTAAGGATGGAGAATTGAACGTACAACCTCATGAATAAATAGACAACGACTTAACCAACAAACAAGAAATGTATTTGAGCTTATAAATGATATGCATATAGGTAACACTCATGTTTCGGGTATTTGTTATAGAGATTCGATTTATAAATTTATATGCAAAATTGGTCCCTACGCAGGACGTATGTGATAGGTACGCCAGGCGTAGGTCATTTAATATTGATCGCGGGTTCCCTTGAGTACACAGGGCGTACGCGCTAGGTACGCATGGCGTGCTTATGCAGGTCCCAAACCCTAATTTTTAGGGTTTGACCCTATTTAAACACCTTAAGACCTCAAGGCCCGTTCATAACCACCCTTCACTCTCCCTCTTTATGTTATTTCGAAACCTTAGCCACCTTGTGAGGTTCTTGAGCTCTTAGAGTCAAACTTGTGTTTTGATACATTTTGAAGAAGAAGAAGGAGTCCATTGGTGAGGTGTTGGGAGCTTGGAGCTTGTGAATCCAGACTTGATTTTTCATTTAGCATCTTCTAGAGGTATAAAGCTCTAAACTTTATGGCTCTTTAGTGTAGATCTAGTTTTGGGTTATCTTTTGGGCATGTTTTGGTCCCATGGCTGGGATTTTGTGAGTAGAAGTTACTCCAGAAACTTTGAGCATCATTTCTAGCCATTTTTAAGTTTGATAAGTCATAAAAATCAGATCTTGAGGGTTGTAGTCCACCCATGCATGAATTTTTGGTCTTTTTATGAAGTTATGAACCTAGGGATTAGTTTTTGGTCCTACTAAGCCATGCACATGCTTAATGTTACCAACTTTATCAATTAAAACCTTCCCAAGAGTTAGATCTATGAATTGGACGTTTTGACTTTAAGCATTAAGAGCTTAATGTTAAGTTTTGGTCATCAGTGTAGTATGCTGGGTGTACCCTCTAGGTACGCATGGTGTAACGGGTTAAGCCCGGTTTCCTTTTCTGTTGAAGCCCAATACACAGGGCGTTATAGGGTGGTATGCATTGTGTACTCACCAGAAGGCCATTTGGGCCATTTTGGGTCTTTGGTCATTATGGGTTTGGGCCATGGTTAGATGGGTCAAGTAGTGGAAGGATCACTACAAGAAAAACATGATTTTGCTAGGGAATGTTACTATGGAACGTATTTTCTGTTGGGTTTTGAGCATTCTAACACTCCTATGGTGTACATGCAACCCTATAAACCTTGGATCT